TTCTCATTTTATTTATGAACTGATCATATTTATGAGTATAGACATGGTTTATACAGTTTTGTCCTACAAAACAGACACATAAATACAAAAAATATCGATTTTCTTTATGAACACTTATCATTCAGTCATGTTTTTCTTTGCTTAGGATTATTCATAATGTTTGGATTATTCTTCTATTTGTTTTAATTGAATTAAGCATTTAGATGAGTTCATACATGTCAATCAATATACAAGTAAAAGTCTTTGTATCTAAGGTGTTAATGTCTAATCGCAACCAATCTACGAGATTGGAAGACCATCAATGGTGGTCTAACATCAATCGGTTTATGATCTCAATCAAAAACTTAATAATCTCCACAACCTCTATACTGATAATTACCATGTGCTCACTAGTCACTAGCTTCGTGAGGGAATCCTCGGACTACTACTGAGAAGCCGTGACCAGTGGAGCAAATCCGTGTCGGGTATAGACAGGTATCTACCTCATACATTGGAAGATGGTCGTACAATTTTGTGGATTGGTTGATGTTAGATACTAACACCATTAGATGCCGGCTCAATGGTCCAGTAGACTAAGGGTCCACACGCGAGACTGAAGGCCCTGGGTTCGAATTCCGCGAGCGGGATCACGGAGAAATCCCACAATAGGATGAAACGGCCGTCCAGTGCTTCCAGGTTTCCAATAGTGGTCTAACATCAATCGGTTCATGATCTCAACCGAAAACTTATGATTATTATTAATTTTTGGGTTGTTCTCCTGAATTAAAAATTCATATGAGTTCATAAATGCTAATTAGTATACAAGTAAAAGTCTTTGTATCTAAGGCATTGTAGATCACCAACGTAGATGATCTATGTCGAATGATTGGAGGCCTACACGAGTTGAACGAGAATGGTGTGATGAACCAACTAATTTCGAAATCACACCTTTCGGTTATCATTTCACATGAATTATCCCTTCGATGTATCAAAGTACTATGTCTACTTTGTGTTGACAAAGGACGTTATTACTGAAATATATTAGTATGAGTACAGAGAACATAGCGAGACCATCACCGAATGCGCCAGTTCATGAGATACGATTAAGTGAGGCGCGTTCGTTGTTCTTGATCTTGATGAGGATCGATGATCTGTTTGATATTAAGTGACCCAACAACTGAATGATTTAGCTAGGGCCTAGTGATATTTCACCGGCCCTACACCATATTGTGAGACATACTAACTTCATCATACATTAGTCAAGTAATCTAACCTGACAATTAGTAGCACAATTATGAATTCTATCAACATTATTAACCTTCTATACTAATGAATAATAATAAATATTCACATCTTTATTCAAATAATTTAAAAAGTCAGTTTCAATATTATCTTAGTAGCGATCCATTAAGTTAGTTTAAGTCAATTCCATTTACTATCAGGACGGGTTTTATGGAGATTGTAGTAATTTCAATAGTTGAAATCATAAGTCAATTGAAGTTAGACCACCATGGAAAGTCTGGAAGTAATCCCATTTACACGAATTATCTCTTCGAATAAGTCAATTATATCAATATTATCGAAGAGACTACTATGTTTAACTAAATTGTACAAAATAATAATGAATGTTTTCTAATTAAATTGTTTACCTTAGAGAATATTACATCACCAAAAGAAAATAAATATGGCTCACCAGTTGTCACTCTGTAGGTTAAATAATATTGAACTAATTTTACTGATGATCATAATTTCTATGTCCCGAAAGACCATCATTATGCAGCTGTGACACTACACTCTATCTAGATCATGAACCTTTAGATCTTACAGTGTATGCTCAAAATATATTTGAGCCACGAAGCCTCAATTCAACGATTCGTATCTCCAACATCAGTCAACTCATGATATTGTATCATGTCAATTCATGATTTTAAAAAATTAATTAAAATGTAACTAATTTACATGAATCATCTGTAACGTAGACAATTAGATTGTGACTCACTGTGATACAAATGTATTATTCTGGCTAGAAGGATTGAAGATCATCAATTCGTTTTGTGTTCGTTCATACGTCTGTACTACAGGAAATATTTGTCGTAGTTCCTCTGATACTAGTCTATAATCAAATCATGAATGAAAAATGTGATAAGAATGAGAAAATAACAGATATTTTTGTGCTACTTAAATGAAGGAAATGAATGTTTAATGAATATATTATAGTTGTTTACATCTATTCCTTGATGTTGAGGACTACAATTATTCATTCCTTTTTGACATCTGGGCATCCTGTGAGAATTGCCTCGATATCACCGTTAAATGAAAAAGATTTTAGATCCAGCTGACGAGTCCTAAACAGGACGAAACGCCCGCCCTGGATTCCACTACTAGCCAACATCGATCCTCTGCTTAAAAACAATATTTAGTTTAGATTCTTTTTCACGGAATGATCGGAGTACCACTAAAACTTCGAAACTATGAATGTACGTTTCGTCAGTTATGTCCTAATTTGAACTCATCAAATGGATTTATCTGCATCTCAGAATTGATGTTCACTCCAGGACTAGAAACGTTTCTACTAAACTTTTAATCTTCAGGGTCTTTTTTATCCAGATACTTTTAAGTTTGTTATATATATATTAGGGATATCAACAAACTTCATGAAGATTTCATGCTAGTTAACACTCATCAACAAGGCGTGCAAGTAATTTGGAGGGAACTGATATTCGCTGTGAGATTCGAAAGTGATTCATTCAATTTTATGCTTTGATAAATTACCAGTAAAACATTTAGCCACTGATTGGACTCCTGTAAGAGTAACATGTTTTGATTGGGTCTGTGGTGACGTCTCAAACAGACAAATTAAGCGACGAAGGTTCTAGTCCAACAAGGAGCATCAGCTTCATCGAGATTACAAGTACGTTTTACTGATGTGTGCTAATTAGCAAGACATCCAAGTCAAGTAAGGTTTCCTATCTACTACCTTCAACCACCTAATGAAAACAGTTTGATTTGTTGTCTATAGAAACTATTTGCATATAATTTTAAAATGTCAATAATCTGTTTTTCCACTCACTAAGCTAAGCAGTGGCTTATTTGTTAAGATATTAGACTTTCAACCAACAATTTCCAGGTTCGAATTTCATTTTACCTGCTTCAGTAACTGGGTATTATCACCAGTTTTTAAAAATAGTTGTATCTTGGATCATACCTAAACACCTGCTGTATGAGTTAATTAACTAATTTATTGATTACCAATTACCATATATATTCTGATATAACAGGGAACCACAACAGAACATCATGATGTGACGATGATATTCAGAAAAATAAGAGGGAACTTTTATACAGTAAATGAATAAACAAAAATAATATTTGGTAAGAGTTAAAGTTACGGTTAAGACAGATTTGTTTCCTCATTTGAATTGAGATAACTCCTCCAACCTTTTGTGATGAACTTAACTGAAAACCACACTTCGATCATGATTAGTTTCTATTCTAAGCTATACATGATTTCTTTTCAAGCCACTAAAGTTCTGTTATCTTCAAGACATCAATTAATAAGTCATGATAGAACGATAGATGTAGGTCTCATATAGTTATCCTCCATATCACAGAGCTATGACGTAGACTGACAATTTCATTATTACTTTGTTCTAGTCCCAGAAGCGACAAATAACACACGATGTTAAAGTCTCTACAATGAATTTCGTAAAACATGACCATATCACCAAAATCCATGGTTTAACCAAAATGATAACATCAATTCAGTAGGAAGTACAACTAATCTCTTTCACATATCATAACAACTAATTCCTCTGAACCTAGTTGATATTACTATAATAGAATTATTACAAATCATATCCATCATTACTATATACTGAACCAGAGCCATACAAATCATAGATCAATCTAACTTCGGTGACATTAAACCGTTATCGTACTTGTGACTATATTGCCATGGTACAGCAGAGAGTGGAGAGAGTCCTCTATCCCTCGAAATGCTCTCACATGGCCACGTGCATACAATCACTGAAAGGGAAGTCCTATTCACTACCTCCTCGCACCAAAGGTGGTGTTTACGAAATTGAGAGGACGAAAACTGAATGTCCAGAACTTTAACAGGGTCAGTGTACACTGAGAGTCCATCTAGGGGAGTTGAAAAACCACTATTCCAAACTAATGGTTTACATGGGCTCCAGTATCCTGAGGGAATAAATGACGTATGAACCAACCGTTGGTCACCGGCTACCATGGGACTGCATCTCCTGACGTTGGTCCACTGCCTTGTGGATTAGACCTTTAGGTCGAAGACTTGGGGTGTGGTTCCCTGGAGAAACCACCTGTTTCGGTTTTAGCACCCGGTCAGCATCCCAGCCCTCACACATATCAAATGAGATTTATGTGGTGTATATCTATTTGGTGCCTCCTTGTACCAATATTTATTGTATTTAAATAAATAAATAAACTATATTGAATAATATCAGAAAGGGTTTGTGGAGATTTTAGAAATTTCACAGATTGAAATCATGAGTCAATTGAAGCTAGACCACTATGGAAAACCTGAAAGCACTGGACGGCCATTTCGTCCGAGTATGGAACTCCTCAGTGGGACGGTTCAGTGTTCTAGTTGGTTAAGCGCCTGGTGCGAGACTGATAGGTCCTGGGTTCGAATCTCGCGGGGTGCGGGATCTTGGATGCGCACTGCTGAGGAGTCCTATATTGAATAAATCGAAAGAAAAAACAAACAAACACACAGGAACAATCGAATACACACATGTTTTCAGACTTAACTCTTCACGTCATTAGTTGACAAATTTAATGTTTGTTTGTTTGTTTTAACTCAGAAAAAGCAAAAAAAAAAAACATCATCACCATATCATGTCCTATCGATTAGTTTGCCCCTAAAAATTGACATCCGTTTCTAAACTTTATGATTAAATGGTTCTTATTCATAATCCAATCGCGTATATGAAAAAAAGAAAAAAAAACATTTTTTAAAATCCTTTCTTCTCATGAGCATCGTTCATTAAATTGATATCTATATACATAGAGAGAGAGGGGGGGAGAATGAATAGACACTATCTATATCTAACTATTTAGATATATACGCGTGCCTAAGCACTTCTTTATCGATTAATTGTATTTAAACAAAGTGCTTCATTTTGAATCATTGAATAGAGATCTAAGTGAATAGTAATCACAGTTGAATAAGAGTTCTTTATCATAAATTGAAATTTGAAATCAACTAAGGAAATGATTGTTAATTGATTTTAACATTAAAAACAAAACTAAACAATCAAACATTCATTTTCATAGATTCGTTTTAAACAAATCGAGAACCAGGAAATCAGAAAGGGTACTTGATTTTATCTTATATTGATCTTATATTGTATTATTATTCATTATGAATAACATACAACAAATGAATTCAATGAATTCATGGTCAACACATCATCATAATCATCATCATTATCGTAATGCATTATTTAAACAACTTACTGATAATCTTCTAACTTCAACAAATGATTTAGATTCTAGTTCAAATGCAACTATAAGTAAGTGTATCATTCATCTTGATCTTTATGAAATATTTTTATGAGAAATGGTTTTTATGGATAGTATAGTCTTTTTAATGAGTTGAGATCAATTTGATGGATTCGCTGAAGTTCAATGGTCTAGAGGTTAAGCGTTGGCGCGTGAGATTGATAGATCCTGAGTTCGAGTCTTGTGAGGAAGGATAGTGGAGTAGTACAATAGGACAAAACGACCGTCTAGTGTTTTATGGTTTTTCATGGTTGTCTAGCTTTAATTGACTTATGATTTCAACTATTGAAATGTATTAAATTTGATCATTTATGTACTTGACATTGAAAACTTGTTTTTTAAAAAACATTTTTGAAAATTGATCTGTTATGTTTGATGAAGTGATATTTTATAAAACATCTACTTGATCCTGTTTAATGTAAATGGATCCCTATAACAACTTATTGTTGATTCTATCAATGGATCCTCTCTTTCTCCCTTACATTGTATCGTTTCAACGATATTTCCTATGATGAATATTGGAATTTAAATAAGTTGACTTTATTGTAGAAACAGTTTACAATGATTTTATTAGTCAGGTACTTCAAAGTGAGAAAGATGCGTTATATTTGAAATCATGAGAATCATTTACTTGAATGACCCAACCACATTTCATTCCTTTCTTAAGATGCTTAAATGTTTGAATAAATGTTTTTGAGTATGAGGTTGTGGAGATTGTTGAATTTCATTGAAAACATGGATCGATCTAAATTAGACCGTCATTGAAAACCTGGAAGTCATTGGACGGTCATGCCATTCTAGTAAGGGACACCTTGATGATCCTGCGCATACGAATTGAACCCAGAACCAAAGATCTTAGAGTCTCATACTAGGACATTATAGCCGTTCGCTGCTTCCAGATTTTCAACGGTTCATGCTTTAAAAGAAATGTTTTTGACTTCAAATTCAAACTTACGACTGATGATAACGATGGATCTTAATGTGCGTGCTTAATGATGCAACGCTGTAGAGATCATATTGTCGTGAACGTGGACACAAGTAGGGACAATCGAATGCATTTAAACACAAAATTACAGAAATTCTTAGTAAAATCTGAGAACCAAACAGTAAATACTTCATTTGCAAACTATCAGTCAATCGTCTCAGACTTTATTGTTCACACCAATCATTCTTGGTTCTCGTTTTCTTTTCCTCGGTCTTCTTAACTTTCTGCCGCCACTTTCGATTAATGGTACATACTACTTATGTATATCGATTTCAGTAGGACTCACAACAACAAGATGAGGTGTTCATGTCAATAAATTCATCTTTTATTAGTTCACAAATGATATTTTCCTAAACTCTAATAACAACCAATCAGTTCGTTGGACTAAAGACTTGGAAAACAATTGTAATTAATTATCAAAACACACGAAAATACCATACAGCAGAGAAGAGTGGATAACCATTTTAATTCATTAGTTCTCAAAGTGATCACTTTGCATAGCAGCATCTGGTCTACATATCTCAAAATCCTTTCAACTTATCAGATATTGTGATTAAACTCATCACTATCTTCAGTAGAACTAGACCGTGACTTTTGTTGAATAATTTGGCTGAGTCGCATAGTTTAGCTTTCAGAGATTTACTTAAGTGTTATCAACTTTTCTACCAATAAACGTTTGTTTTAGTAAAGCGACCAAGTAATCTTTCATCTGAATGTGTTTGCACTGATTCGTTAGTTCATATGTTTCATTTTATCTATTGACGAGAAAGAAAGAACTGTAGTTTCAAGATGGTCATGTATCTTATTAAATTTAAGTATTTGCACGAATGAAAAATGTGTGATGCATAGTCAGTGGTTGGAATCACTATGAATTTTTCCCGAGTAATGTGGGTACTCTAGTTGGTGAATGCAACTGACTTCAGCTCATAAATGACTTTTATAACACCTATTTCACACGGTTTGATTACTACAGTAGATGATAGCGTAGAAAATTAGTTCATTGACCAGGTGGAAATCGTTTCAGTATTTTTTTAAACTCAAGTTCAGTAGTATTCAGTGAACCTTCAAATTGTCTTTTTTTTCATTTACAGGTATACTGACGTTTATGCTTAGCATAGAATTTACTTAGTTTAGTTGTTGAGCTTTGATCATTTTTACAAAAAGAAAAAATCTAACTCCCGATTACTTTAAACGTAATAATGCAGATCCTGTCGTGATGAATTGATGGCTTTGTGATCAATGTAGATAATGGCAAGGTGTAGAAGTACAACATCAATTATTAAGTATTATATTCTTAGTCAAATTTGAATTAGATATTGTATAATTTGATATTTACGATCCATATTACGTCAACGTTGTTGGTAGATAGATGAGCACGATACAATAGTCATAGTTATATTGACCTTTTTAACAGTTAATAACTCTATTTCGTTCTGTTGACATTAAGTCGAATAGTTCAACTTCTACATAATCATATTGATATTGCCAATGCTAATCAAACCGGTACCCATTTCATCACAAGTCAAAGAGTAATCCCCTAGTTTATTAATATATTTGAGTAAATACTTCCTCTGCAGATTTGTCATACTATTTGTGTTGTAAGTCAATATGCAAACTGTAGCACCGAAATATTCAGAAATGGTTGTACTGAGGGAAAATGTCTTAATATTCAGGTGAAACTATGGTTTACACTATACTATGAACATAACAATGATCCCCTTATTAAATTGTGTTTTTTTAGTATATGAATGCTACAGTGTATAACATTTTTCCATATGAATGTATAACTTTTTGGTCACTGAAGAGAACCAAATCATTTGGGTTTTAGAGTTTACACAGGATGGTAAAAAATGTAAACTACAGTTTCTATAAAGTAGTACTTTTATCATTTCAATTTTCACTTTTTATTTTACAGACGATAAAAATGGTGGTGTTTCACCTCATTGTGATATTAAATTAAACATTCAGCAAGTGTTAAATGAAGAAAAATCTATTCAGACAGGGACAGGACTCACAACATGTGCGTCAACTTTTACCACTGGACGACCATGTCTAGCTGGTACTCAAACACTGAAGCACCAGTTAACTAAAAATCAGGAAACTAATCTAGACATGACAAATACAAGTATTCTTAGTATGAATGCAAGTGACTTGACACAAGACTCTAGTGGACTAGGGTCCATGATTTCTGAACATTGTAACACGAGCAATATTTCAGGTTATTTCAAGGATGGAGACCGGTCTGACTCACATTTACACTGGCCTAATCACAGTCTTATAACTTTAGATGAGGATACAAGCGATATGAGTTTGGATAAGAGTGATGATTATACAAACGGGCCATGTGATAATAACAGAGAAGCTCCAATCATCAAAACAGAATATCCACATCTTGAATCTCAAATAAAATCTCCCGTGTTGGCTATGCGAACTTCACCATCTAGCGAAGGAAAATCCGCCATTCAATATGGTTCTGGTGATGAATTTGACTATGACACAATGGTTGCTCAAACACGAATGATCGCTAATCGGGATTTTCAGACAATGGATGAGAATTTCGCATCAGTGGCACGTTACGTTGAAGAGTTGACAGGCTGTAAAGAGTTGAAAAAAACAAATAACACAAAGGATAGCCAGATTACAAAGGTTTCGTCCACTAGTAGACAAACAACTCTAGGCAAACCACAGCATCATCATTACCAGCACCATCACAACCAACAGCAACAACAACAGTGTGTGACTCAGTCAATGGGCTCATCACCTGTCGGCTCTGCTCGTCATCAACAAGATTATCAACTTCTCAAGTTACAACAGCTGCAACAGCTCTACCAAAAACTTATTTCTTTACCATCAATGAAGCATCCGAAAGTTGATGATAAAAGTAAGCTCAAGTTTTAATTTATAATTTGATACTTTAAAATGTTTATCGTAAATAATCGTAGAAACAAATTTATTGATGAAGTTTTGATTGTCATAGTCTGATTCATAATAAACAACTAAGTTAGGAAATTTGAACTAGAAGACAGAATATCATTCCACTTACATGTTCAAAATGTTCGGTTAGTCTTTTTGACTAGAAACTTGGTGACGGTTACTTCTGCCAATTTTTCCGGTATCTCGTGATTAGAATCCTAAGTAGTGAATCGCCATATAACTGATCTTTATACATTTTTATCTTTTATTAAATGGGTGAATCACTCAAAGTCGAACTGTATGTATCAACTACTCCAAATATCCTTTACAAGGTTAACTGAAAGATCAAATCAAAGCAATTCATCTTCATAGATTCATTTCAACTTTCATATCTATTAGGGAATGGAAAACTATTAATTTTAACTTCTGTTTACATGTACAGAACTTTCAAACATTCATTTTACTGATATTTGGTTTCATTTTACTTTATTTCAATAAACAGGTTCGACTGAATTAATAACTCAAGATTTACTCTTGCGTCTTTTGACAAATCAGAACATTAATGAATCTCTATTGAGTAATCTCCTACCAAGTGTTGAGACGATTTTTGAAAAGAATAATCGAAGATCTTCATCAACAATTGGTCAGAATTGTAAACAATTTGGTATTTCAACAAATCAGTTGCCTAGAAATAACCGAAGAGTTGCACTAAGTGATTTAACTTCTTATGATGAATGTCTTCTCCGTAGTATCCTGTCTAATACACCTCATACATCAATGCAGAATAATTCAGCTGGAATTCATCCTAATAATATGCAGGCGTTCCATCACAATAATGAAAGTTTGATGACTAATATCCACAATAGACGATCTAATCCAATACAGAATTCGTTGTTATCTTCAAACTGTAACCAACTGGTTAATCTAATCTCACAGCTGGATACTAATGCTGTGAAAACCGATTTGCTTTCCCAAGCAGCACCTATGAATACAAATACTATGGCTTTATTAGCCAGTTTATTGAATACTACCCAGTCTCAGTCGAATTCACCTGTTATTAACACCAGTTCTACGCCACAAGAACAACATAATATGCTTTATAGTCTTTTAGCAAACCAGTTGTCCAGTTTTCAGTCCGATTCTGCTTTGAACAATAATAATGCAAACATCTCACAACTACTTCATGAACGTGCATCAAAAGAGCGTGAAACAAACTTACTAAACTCCATACTTCTGAAATCTGAGTGTCAAGGAGATAATATTTCATCTTCTCCACCTTCATCTTTGCAGCGTCGTCAATACACATTATTTGATAGTAGTTTGACAGAAGAACTTTCTCAGTTGGCTTTGCCTTATCAAAAGCTCATGAGTTCATTCGAAAATGACATCGACAAAGCGGCAAATGTTTATAGAAATTCTGCAAGTAAGTCTGATCTGTCTCTGAAACCTGATAAACTATTTTTGTAAAAATTCATCACAATACCAATTAATCTGTGTTTATTCTTAAACGTTCAAAAGTAAATAATTCCCAGATTATATTCATCACTTTAGGTACAGTGGCTCAGACAAGTGAAGCAGCTTATCACTGGTCAGGAAAACTGCCAATTCGAGTCCACCGATCTATGACCTTCTCTCGGAAAGTATTTCTTGGCGGGGTTCCTTGGGACAGCACAAGTGAAGAATTGATTAGGGCTTTCTCTCGATTTGGTAACGTCAGTGTTTGCTGGCCACAAAAGGAGGGATCAAGCTCTAGTAATACACATCTCAAAGCCCCATCAACTAAAGGTAGGTAATTTGAATACAAAAACTCAGGTAATCTGAACCTTTTATCTGCTTTACTTTATTGAATGAACATTTTATTAAAATTATTATTCTAGGTTACTGTTATCTGATATTCGAACATGAAGTCTCTGTAACTGAACTGCTTGCGAACTGCGTTCATAACCCTACAACAGGTGGCGAATATTATACGATATCAAGTCCTAAATTCATATCCAAGGATGTTCAGGTCAGTTTATTTTACTAATCTACATCTTTATATCATTTGTAATTATTTACTGATGGAATCGCACTACATTTACCTCTCTCTTCATTTACCAGTTTAATTCTAAACGATTTCATAAATTACATAATTTATGTCTTGACCAGATGGATAAGTAGATCTATCATCTTAGCGAAAAAGAGTAAACAAATGTTCAGTATACCAAACAGGTCCATAGACAAAATAACAGTCATTGTGTTACTCAGTTTGGCTTACTTTAACAATATACTCATTAACCAATGTGTATACGTCAAGTAAACTTTAACAGGGTGCTCAGGCATATATTTATTTTTTGGTCACCTTATTAACGCATGTGACAATTCTAAAAGCAATTAAAACGTTTGTCAACATATTGAACTCTCTGAAAATTATTTCTTTTCCAAAGATGGGTAGTGGCTGGATGTACCTGAAGTCGACGAGTCCCAAATAGGACGAAACAGGCGTCCTGGATACCACTGCTAAACATTATCCATCTTTGCTTAAAAACCTTGTGTTTTAAGGCTATATCGAGGCAATCCGAGCAGGATGCACATATGCCAACATGAGACTGATCACTTGCAGTTCTGAATAACAATGGGAAGATACAAGCAAAACAACAAGTGAATATTTCTTTAGGTTAATACTTGATCACCGCGACATATGATTGTCCGTTATCTGTAAAAATTGTACTTAAAATAATCTCACGTTTCGTCCAGCAATTCTGTCTGGATTTCTTCAAGGTAGTAATCAAAATCAGGATTTTCAGTAAGGGGATATAGTAAACGTTGAGTTTCTTTAGAATCATGAACCGGTCTAAGCAATACAATCATCAAAAACCTGATAGCACTGGATGGCTGATTCGTCTTGGTAAGGGAAACCCCAGTAGTTAGCATCCTATGATATTCAGAAGTATTCGAATTAAAATGTTAACTAAGAGTTTCCGAAATACTGTAATTTAAGGATGATATAACTAAATGGTCACAAATGAACGTGCTATCTTTTGCATTCTTAATCACTAGGCTATCAAGTACAAAAGAATCATTAGTTCGTACAAATACTACATCCGCCACAACTTAAATGAGAATCCAAATTTCTTAGTCGATTGTACTTCTTTTCCTCACGTTCATCGTGTGTCTCTCCAACTGTATATTCGATGAAGACTATGTATAATCTAGAATGTACTCATCATTATCGGAATTAACAACCGAAACTGGAATTGTATTTGACCAACTTAAATAATCGGCACCTATAATTCGAACAATAGATTTTCCAACATTCTTCATCACAAACCTTGTGGCTGGTCGAAAATCATTTCCACGATAATATATAACTTCTTCAAACTCTAAATGCCTCATAATCAAACGAAGAATTCTGCCTTTTCATAGCTTTGATGGCGTTACTTTTGTTACAGAATGTTTAGCGTTTCTATATTGAAGTAGAAATGTATCTAATCCTTTCTTCAGTTCATTAAATGTTGAAGTAGCAATAGAATCAAAAGCAGTTTCCAATATCGTGACAAAATTCCCTGTTTGACCATTAGAACAAGGGTGCCTGGAAGCAGTAAACAGATGTCTGCACACTATATCATTTAATCAGGTAGTGACTGCATCCGCAGCAAAGTGAGAGCCATTATCAATCAGTAACACCACGGGAACCCCTTAACGACTAAACACCTTTCTTAATGCTTGGATTGTGAAGTCAGAATTTGATGAAGTTGTGAAAAAATCTTCAGGCCACTTAGAAAAAGGATCAGTGACTACAAGTGCATATTATTCGCCAAGTAATGGACCACAACAGTCTGCATGGATTCTCTACCAGGCTTCAGACGATACAGTCCATGGAGTTCACTTCGAAGGCTGACTTTTCAAATTATGACATTTTCCACAATTTTTGATGTACGACATATATCTGCTACAAACACGTGGGCCTTGCCAAGGGCTTTATTTTCTCAACACCAAAATGTCCACTATGAAGATCTTCAAGAACAGATTTGCGTAATAAAGGAGAAATGACAATACGATCATTTGAACATAAAATACCATCAGGAGTAGTGCATAACTCTTCCCACTTTGAAACATAGACAAGAAATCTACGTTTCAGACTAGCATTCCAACCTTTCCGTATAGCACTGAGTACAATTCTAAAGTATCTAAGAGTTTCTCTGAGGAGATCTGACCGTCTCACCGTTAAAGCTTGCACTAGCAAACAGTCTGCAGTATCAATAAGTTTATCATGTAATGATTATCGAGATCTATAGTCAACATGGTAAATTTGTTTGCTAAATCGTATAGTCATAGGCACTCGAAGGAACAATCAATCGTTTACCCAAAGCAGCTGAGAAACATGCTATGGATTTTTGAAACTTATTATCCGATGAGGTTACGCAATAATCAAGGGTTAAGGAAGAAATCATAAGGGTCAGATAATTGCCTAATCGACAAATTTAAAGAAAAACGACAAACATAAAGGTCATAATCATAAAAAAAACTGAATAATAATCAAGAAAACTTGTTTGTAGATAAATTTTCTTCGCTGAATTCTCTTTATTTTTATTCAGTGACACAATGGGTTATTTTAATTATCTGACGAGCTGTAAGAATCCTCTACTTTAATTTTTTTTTAAGCCGTGACCAATCGAGTTAATCCGCGTCGGGCAGGGTCAGGTATCTACTTCAGTACAATGCAAGACGGTCGTGTAATGTCGTGGATTAATGGAACTTAAATATTATCACGGTTGGATGCTGGCTCAGTGATCTAGAGGTTAATCGTTCGCGCGCGAGACCTAAGACCCTGAGTTCGAATCCCACTAGCGGGATCGTGAATGCGGAGGAGTCCCATGATAAGGCGAAACGGCCATCCAGTCTAGCATCAATCGGTTCATGATCTAAATCTTAAAAATTGATTGTTTTTATAAAATAAGTTGGTGTATTCATGTTTCTAATCTACTTGGCTAAATAAAAGTTTAACCAATAAATTCAAGCCGCCGGTTCGAATATATGGGCTACCTGTTGCTGACATCAACATGTCTCAACAGGTTTCCTGTCTTTTGGTTGTTTTAACACATCATTATGTCAGTTAATTGCATCAGCTATTCAAGTGCATTTGTGAAGAGTTTACGACCTTCCGATGTACAATGTATAAAAAGTATAATCAGAGACTTTATGTTGAATGACAATATGCATTGAAAAGAATGAGCATTGTTGAGATGTCGACTGCTGAACAACTAACATCTAACTGTTGATCACTCAATATTTGTTTTCAGGACAGATAGTTGACAAATGAGTTGTTATCGAATTTCATTAAATTTAATCTTCTACCTTAATCTGTCGAATAAATCGACTGATCGGTTATCATTATTATTAACAGATTATATCGGTGAATAATATTGTTTTTAAAAGTCTGTCATGAGTCATTTGGTGAAGTGAATTCTTCTTGACTGACATAATGTATGAAGGTATATAATTGTGTACGCCAGTTTAACATTACCAATATGTGAAGTAAACCTAATGTCCAAACCCTACTTTCAGGAATTCATTTATATTTGTGAATGAGTTGTTAACGAAACTTCGCTGAAATTATTTTATCCTATTTATATTTATAAAACTTACTTTACAGGTTATACCATGGGTCATCAGTGACAGTCAGTACACAAAATCAACTCCCAGCTCTTCGGATATCAAGAGGACTGTGTTTGTTGGAGCGCTTCACGCTTTGATTACAGCAGAAATATTAGTAACAATTATGAACGACTTATTTGGAAATGTTATTTTCGCTGCTTTGGATACAGATAAATACAAATATCCAATAGGTAGGTGACTGTATGGTATAAGTTATATATAAACATCTATTTGTCTCCAAATTCATACATTATTATTAGTCATTTCAGCATTTCGACGTTCCATTAAACATGTTACCAAGTACCAAAATACTTATCAGTACCCCATAGTTTAAATTCAAATTATGGACGACCTTTAAGCGACGCCAAAGTGACCTTGAGAGTGTCTATCTACTTAGTAGGGCTAAATGAGGGTTATAAAGCAGTTTGAAAAATAAGGATTATGATTCACAGTTGATGGTTAAGGTTAAGAATTAGATTTACTGTTTTTCATCATGAAGTAACATTAGGTAAAATGCCACGACGCTATCTGACCAAATGAGTAAATGAATTTCACGCTAAAATGCAAGACTTGCTATCCTAAATCTGTTTGGTTCATCCATAAATTATAGTCTCACCACAACCCAATTAAAGTTGGTAATACATTTTGAACAACCAAGTTTTCTTAATTAGTGTCCAGAATGTTCGAAATAACCAAAACATTTTTCTGATTATTCCATGTTACTAAGGAAATACTGAAGCAAACAAAAAAATTTTCAATAAGTCACGCAAATTAAGGCCAAGGTAACCGAGTTAAAAAGGAGTAAATTACGTAAGTTCAATTGGTTTTGTATTAGGAATGATTATGTGAAGTTTGTCGTCTGTTAATCACTAAACAAATGAAATATCTCATTCACTTGTTATAGTGAATGAACCATTAAGAATAATCTGTCTGTCTGAAAATTGTGCAAACATACTAATCAAAAATGTATGTCGGCTTCTTCTTTTCAAACAGAAATAATCAAATGGTGGAAGTGAATTTTTCAAAGATACCAGAGATATTTTTTCTTATATTTTTGTCGTGATAGACGGAATATGTACTTCAGAAAGAAATAAGAAGGATTATACTTTAAGGAGATGAGATAATTTGCCCTTGGTTATTTTCTTATCAGTAGCTGTAATGCAATAGTTGGAGGTCTAGATCAATAAAATGCAGGTTTAAAGTCAACAAATAAAATCTATTTAACCACCTCCCACCAAGTCAATAAGTTTGTTTCTAAGGCAAATATACTAGCTTTAAACATTTGATTGGAGTGGATTAACTTGTCTATCTTGTATTGATTTTTATATATTTAGGTTCTGGGAGAGTGATTTTCTCTAGTCATAAAAGTTACATGAAAGCGATAACAGCCAATTTTGTGGATATTCGTACTTCGAAATTTATTAAAACTATTCAAATAGATCCTTATTTAGAAGATGCTGTTTGTAATAGTTGTCTCTCATATCCTGGCATGTACTTTTGCAGAGCATTTGAGTGCTTTAATTATTTTTGTCCAGCATGTTGGCATATGTGGCATAATTCAACGGAAACATTGTATACACACAAACCTTTGAGGAGAACATTTAAACCGAACATTGATCGGCAGTGGCAAACTGGTGTGGTTGTAACGACGACGACCACGACGACGACGACGATGACAACGGCAGCGACAACAGTATTGGCAACGACAACAACAACAACGACACAAAGTAGATTTTAGTGAATAAATCTCTAATGTTATAATATGATCAATCCAACATGATCACCGTTATTTATTGTAACCACTTAAAGTTTTGATCATCTAATTCCGTCTTTAACAGTTTTTATTATGCATACATAAATAATTTAGCTCTGTATCCCTTTCTGTTGTTTAACCTCCCTTTGATGAATTAATATGGATTCGGATACACTTTATACTACTGTTATTCTTTACTCAAGTTTAATATTTTAAAATGTTTTAGTATGATCGTATAGAGAAAGTAATAATGATTATAACAATTCAGTTATACACAATGTTCACCTCTTCAATGATTAGTGCATGGTATTAATAATAATTATTATTATAATAATCCACTTCTATAATATTCCACTTCTAGTCTTTATCACTTTTTTATAATAACCATTTTTGTTTCGTCCTTTTTTTTCCTGGAATTTTTAATAAACACACACACAGACCAATTCGCTCTTCTTTTTAAAACAATAATATGATTGTTGTATTGATGTATGTCAATTCTCATCTAGTTACTATTTGTCATATGAGAAAAGTTTGTTAAATCATCTTATTGTTCGATTTTGTCAATAAAATTACTTTTAATGAATTGGATACTTTGTTTTCAGTAATAGTTGGAATCATAATTTTATATATCTAAGCCTTCTGTTGACTAATGTGTGTTTGCTCTAGGATTGTAAAAGTGAATGTTTAGACTGTGTATCATCGGTTTTGGAGAATTAATTAGTTAATTCACTGAAATAGATCGTTAAAAAGTCCTGTTCTCTTCAGAATGTAATTATCTGTTGGTTCAGTGGACCCTCTAAATGCCCTGGTACGACCAAGAGTAGAGAAAGTCAAACAATCCATCTCAGAGAAAAAATCTTCATCAGAGTCAGCTCTCCCTCACATGGTCACGTGCATACAACCAGGGAAGGGAGGTTTCACCTAGAGGAGTTTGAAAACCACAATTCCAAACTAATGGTGTACATGGGCTCCAGTATCCTGAAGGAACAAATGGCGTATGAACCAGTCGTTGGTCACCGGCTACCATGAGACTGCATCTCCTGACGTTACACCACTGCCTTGTGGATTAAACCTTTACGTCAAAGGCTCGGGGTGTGGCCCCTTGGAGAAACCACCTGCTTTGGTTTGGGCACCCAATCAGTATCTCAGCCCTCACATTAATCGAATGGTTTATGAGACGCATATCTATTTGGTGCCTCCTTGTACTAATAATTGTTAGTTTAAATAAATACAGCGAACCCAAAGATAAACCCAGGAGTTTCTCCGTAGAACTGATACAATAAGTATAGAAAAAATGTTTATGTATTATTATGGTGCAATTTTATCTATCAACATGCAATGCAACTAACTAACTGATACAAAGAAATTAAACCTCATCTTACTTCTGATGCCTGTTCATCATGCAATCACTTCCAACATACCGGTTGAAAACTTCAGCATTGTCAGAAATGAAACACTTCAAAAAGAAAGATACGAGAAATTGAGTTCCTTTTAAATAGTCCCCATTCCATTAAGAGAAATGTTAGTAGTAGTACGTTATCAAAAGGAAATATCTTGTACCCAAATAAGTTATAACATTTTAGGGTTATAGTATTACAGTAAATCAGAATTGTGAATCCCTGATAATACATTCCAACTTCTTAGTCAACAAGGAACTCCTACTGAATCACACAAAATAGACGATTTAGCAATGAATGTTTGTTTGTCGGTATTAAAGAACGAGATTATTCAAAAGTTGTTTTCATCAGAGCAAACCAAAGTTTATCATGCATTCTTTCAGGTCTGTAACACTTTATGGAGACGGTGTCTGCAGAGTAGCAACAGCTTAAGTGTGCATGTGCATGATTTAACGTTCAAAACAAACCATTTTTGAGCCACAGATAATTAAAATCTATTTAATTCAAATTCTTTATTGACCGTAATTTACTTAATTCTGAATTGTTAGCCCACTGTCTTAAACAAGATACCAGATATATAGTACCTCATGTAAGATTTTGGGATTATTATTGTAGGGCCAATGAAATGTCACTGAGCCAAATCATCTATCAGTTGGGTTACTGAATATTGAACAGATCATCGATTCTTGTTAAAGTCAACGACATCCAACGCTCATCAGTTAATTGTATGCCATGGACTGGCCCATGCGGTTGTGGTCTCACTATCTTCTCTGTACTCATTCTTACTAACATATGAATGAAATAACACTATGCTTCTAAGCCAATTGTATTCGAGATGAAAATTTTTAAATCTTACCATTGAAAGGAAAATATTATCCAGACCTATCGGTCAGTTTTTAAGTAATTCTGAAAATAATTTTATGGCGTTTTGTTCTGTGAGCTGGATGATTTGGTCGTGAAACTTTCATCGTTTGTCTGAACGACATCATCAGTACAAACTTCAAGTAGAGTATTTATGATACTTTGGATCGAAATAAAATTATCATCTGTGCTAACATAAACGAGAAATCAAATCATATGAATGAGCAGTTATCCAAAATGATTAATCTGAATTCCTTAAATAAGATCCCAAAGATTGACATAAATGTAGTGGCGACAGAATATAGAATACTAGTATTATATGGAATTAGAACATAGATAGAAATGAAACAATTACTCACCAAAGTTATTGGATGCCTATCATACCACATCACAAACCAACTGTTATTGTAAACAACGACTTTCCGATTCCAACTTGGTGATCGAAATGCATACGAGTTTTCTGGAGTATTACATACCATTAGTTGGACATATATCTAGTTGCGAATTCAAATGTGGTATACTTGAAGTCTGTCATTAAACTTGACAAAACTGAGATAGATGTAAGAGTTAAAAAAACCGAAACTTGAAACCAAATATATAAGGTTTTTTCCGAAATTCTATTAGCAAATCGTAGTAGTAGTAGTCGTAGTCGTAGTAGTAGTAGCTCTGTGGTGTGCACTATTTATGCGGCCAGACGTAAGTAGTATGTAGCTGGAAGTGGAAGCACAATGTGTTCTTGAAGAGGACTAACACAAGGAAAAGCAATAGGAAAACCAAGAGCTATCGAATGACAACAGGATAGGAAGAAGGATGAAATATGTAAAGGACAACTGAAGAAATGTAAATGATATTTTCAATGTCTGATTTTCATATTTTATGAACGTACTGTTTAATTCTACTTAAAACAGTAAACAAGTTTTGTTCATCAAGTCCTCGTTACGACAGTCGTAGTTTACGCTATTGGAATATTCTCAACTTTTTGTTAAAGTTAATACTTATATCACATTTTATTTGAATCATTCTGTATTATACGAAATCATTCATGACACTGCAAACATAGGATTTGCCTGCTTCACAACCAAATTCTTATAAAGTAATAAGAACGAGTTCGAAGTATTTGGGAGTTCTTCCATTCAAGTTTTGCATTGGTTATTTTGATTGTGGATAAATTCGGTAAATAAATGATATCGACTAGATATATATTACACATATGACTATTTCACTGGTTTCTGATAGCCTAGTAAAATGCTAGTCGTCATCACAACTTCCAGAGCAACTTTTTTCTCTATCCACTTAAGACATTTCATTCCTTCCCATAATCAATGTTCTTAAATATACTGTTTGAGTGCAAAATGCTAAGCACTTCATCAAAATTTGATAAGATAAACTTTTATTTTTGTCTCAACATTGATGGAGTTTTCTTCTCTGAGCTGAATGATGTCGTTCAGAAGAACTATGAAAACTCTACGACCAAGTCATCCAGCTCAGAGAACAAACCTTCATCAGAATCATTCACCAGAGCTACAAATCTTCACTATTTTGTCTTAATGTTACGTTATTAAGACGGTCAGTATCTCTGAAAATTAATTAGCTAGGTAGTAAAGCGTTACCCGACAGTGTGCAGACTACCATATATATCGATTGTTCTAGAATGACTTCATTGATAAAGAATGTATCAAGAAACTGGACTTTGAAACAATTGTTTCAAACAATAAAAATATGAATGAAAGAAATCGATGAAATATTTTATACTACTTATTTAAAAAAAGCAGTGTCAAAGCTTATAAGTAATAAACATGGTTTACAGGTTGGTTGTCAGTATGAAGTTGAGATCATAGACCGACCGATTGAAAACCTGGAACTGTACGGGGTTGTGAATGCACACTCTTGAGGAGTCCCATACCAATCTTGGTCTAAATTAGATCGGTTCACGATATCATTGTAAGTGATATTCATCGAATGAAATTCTGAAGATGATGATGCATCAAATCATTGGAGGGAGGCATGAATTTAGTTATTTCAAACCCTCAGGAATAACCAACTAACTTACTATCTGTCTTATTTTCAATTATCTGTTTGTTCGCTAATTTATCGGGATTTCCTTCACTTTTGTTATTCATACCATATATAATTACTTCAACAGTTATTTGTTTAAATTATCAGAACGTCGGTATTTAGAAACTGTTCAGATTTGAAATTCACATTCATAATAGACTGTAATCATCTTAAAAACTAGAAGCCTTCAGACGAATATTACGTTGTAGCGTAACATACATGAGCATCACGAACATACGACGCCGTCAGGAATCGATGAGAATAATATCCTAAACAATCATATGATCAGGAGTTAGTTTAACATAGTCATCAATGAGAATTTAAATCCATATAAAAATATAAAAAACATTTTGCAGTTATGAGAAATTAAGTGATCTAATATTTGTTGAAAAGAATATCCTGGAAAATTCACTAATATTTGAATTAGACTAAGATAAATTTGTCTACATTGACAGGGAGATGCTATTAGTTGAACCATGTACCTTAATAAATATAGTACGGGGGATCCTTGTTCGTTGTGCGTGGAACCTACAAAACAATCATCTAAATTATATTTTTTCAATAGTTTAACTTTCGAAGATTACTTTCGTGACTTACGAGAATCTTTCTCAATGGAATAGTATCTCAAGCAACTGAGCAAACAAATATGTGCTTAATGTATAGCCCTTTTAAAAAGATGAGTAACGTTTATATGAAAGAAAGTCATGCCAAAAATAAAAGGAAAGAATACCCATACAGTAAACACGAAATCGTTTGTTTGTATGCCCACAATATAAGGGTATTCTACCAGCGAAATCTTAATAGAGAGGTTATTCAGAATGTTTATCACAAGCAACACCACTGTTCATGTTTCCTATAGCTTCAACAGTGACAATGAGACTAATAGGCTGTCCACTTGTTTTATCTAACAATCCAATAGTTTCTGTGATACAAGTTACACAGGCAAATGTTCTATGAATTCGGACATCTGCACTCATGAATACTGTACAGAATAGATAAACAAAGTTGTGGTTACTTATGTCAACAATTCTACCTTACATTATCTGATCAAAGTCAACTATAAGGGTCAATGTATAAATGAATTCAACTACATCACTCACTTTGATGTTAAACTAGATTTGAACTTAAATTGATGGTATCCTGAACTCATCCTAATGGAATGCTAATTTTTAAAAGATACACAAAAGTTTCACTCCTGATTAGCTAATAATTATTAATTACAACTCAGCTTCCATGTCAATTCATATACAACTGGAATAACATCAACTATGATA